GAAGCCTCCTTGGATGTCCCCAGCTGGTAGTGACGCCCGCATCCTTAGGCTTCTTCACTCCACCCTCCGTAACTCAAGATACTTACTGTCTTACCAGGTGGTGCTTATCACATTGAACTACATGAAATTATCATTTTGTAGGCCAGAAATGGTCACATATCAACAACTTCATATGGGTCAGCCTAATAAAGTCATGGCCTACCTCCTTAGGAAGAATGTAGTTCTCTCCTGGGCTTAGTTTACAAGTTTCTGTCAAGCTCTACACCATACTGGGAGGTAGCCCCAGCTGCCCGAAGAAACAGTCGCAGGATGAAATGCCAAGGGGAGAGAACAGTCAAGCTGAACAGCTGCCAGATGTGTATGAAGAAGTCAAGCTGAAGTCCAGACTCCAGCCGCCAGCTGCCCACTGATGCCGCTGTGGCAGAAACGAGCGCTTAGCAGAGGCCTTCCCAAAGTCTGGTCCCACAAAATTGTGCACAAAAGAGATGATTGCTTTAAGCCAGTGAGTAGCCAAAATAATGAGCAGTAAGGAATCAAAACAGCTCACATCATGGTTGGTTGACTTAATAAATTTTTTAATTTGAAAATCCAGACTGCGTATAAAAATTGGAACCTTAAGGTCGCTTGAAAACCCGGAAGAACCCGCAGTTCTCAGCCCGTGTGCCTGTGAGTGAGGAACTGCCTCTCAGGGCCACTGCCTGTGCCCCCTTCTGGGCCAGGCCCCTGCTCTGAGGGTCACCACAGTCCCCCACCCCACTCTGCTCCACTCCAGGATGTCACCTGCCTGGACTCAGTCCCCTTGGCTTCATTTCCCACTCCCTCCCCACCAACCACATGGTGACTTGCAGTCCCCACCCCCTGTAGGAGCCACTATTTCAAGACTCTCTCCATTTGAAGCCTTTGCACGTGCCACCCCCTGCCTGAAACATCCTCACTCCTCTGTCTACAGAACAGCCAAGAATCCCTCAAATTCAGCTCAGTTTGAACCTCAGAAGCCTTCCCTGAGCTCCGAAGCTGGGTTGAAGGCCTCCTCAGAGCACCTGTGTTAACTGGCCCCCTGTCACATATCACACAGCAGGACCAGTGACCCTCTCCTCCCCAGCACTCCATGCCCGGAGGGACTGGCACATGGGAAACATTTGCACATGATTCTAATGGCACATGAGCAGGCATTTGGCACCTTGAATTTGGCAACACTGGAAACCTGGAGATTAAGACTAGTCACTGTGGGGACAGTGCAAGACAAATAAGACTTAGCTTGGATGCCACAGGGGTGCTTGTCCATGGGGGTTGCAGCCTAGGAACATGTGAGTGGGCACTCCTTGTCCCTCATGTTCAGCCCCTGCACTGGCCCCAAGCATAGTGGGCTCCTTAAATGCTCACTCCCTTCCTGTGCTGTGGAGATCTAGGGGTCTGCATTTCTTGCATGATACTGGGCTTCCCAGAGCAAGTGCTCCAGGAGACCCAGGTAGAACCCACAGCCTTCGTACAAGCTGCTCTCAGAAGTTCCGGAATGTCACTCACACTTCATTCTTTGGGTCAAGAAAGTCACTAAGGCCAGTCCGGATTTAAGGAGAGGGGATTGAATTCCACCTTCACCCCTGATGTGGGGGCCACCGTGCACTGCAGGGAGGGAAGCAATAATGGGGCCATCTTCGGGGACAGGATACCCCACCTCTCACAGGGGTTTGGGGCTCAGTCCTCAAAGTCTGTGATTCTCCCCTGCTCCCCAGCCCCTACAGATCTGGGTGAACCTGCCCTCCTGCCCAATCTGGCCAGAGAGAAGCAGATGCTCCTGTTCACTGTTCACAGAGGCTCCAGAGATCCAGGGACTGTGTGAGGTGCTGCCGGGAAGTTTCCAGGCTGAAGGAGGGGGCAGCTGACCACCTCCAGGGCTCAGGACCGAGGTGAGGCTCACAAGCTGTCTTCACATTTTCAGTGCCGTATCACACAGCCCCGTGTTCCCACACCAGGGAGGGCACAGCTGCCTCCAAGAATTTGCCAGATTGCTGATGTCCACTTTGCACATTTAAGATGGGTGTCTTGTAATGCTTAGCTCTTGAGAGGGAAATCTTTCTGAAATGCTTCTATCCTCTGGGTCTTTTAAAGCCATGGACAGGAATCCCAGGTCACAAAGCACTGAGGGGAGGAGGCTTGGGTTCTGGAGTCCCAGCGATCTCATTCCTTCACGTTGTGGGCTGATCAAGCAGGTGTGCACTCCCAACTCCCCTCGGCCCTCCAGCTCTATCCTCTACTGGGGCTGGTATTTTCCCAAAGCCCTGCTTCAATTAGAAACCTTTCTTTGCTCAACAACCAGCAGTGACTCCTACTGCCTACTGACGAATGGGAACTTCTCACACTACAGTCACACCCTCTGTGACCTGGCCCTTGCCTCTCCCTCCCAGCTCCCCTGTAACCCCAACACCCAAGCTCCTGGGGGAGCTTATACTGGATTTTCCTTCTCCTACCTCTCTGCCTAGAATGCCCTATTACAGGTCCACTAGGGGAAATCTCTCTATAGTTCTAATCCACCAGAACCCACATCCTCAAGAGTCCTGATGATGAAGAGGATTCAGGGGGCAGGCATTTGGCACCTCAAATACACTCTTTTCCTGTTATTGTTTTCATGCACATAGACCTTGGTCCACCCTCATCCAATCATCTAACACATACTTGTTGAGGGCCCACTATATGTCCAGCATCATGGTCCACCCAGCATTTGATCCATTCCCCTTGCTGGGAATGGCCCAGCCCATCATTTCCCCAATACTGTAAGCACCCAAAAAGAAAACCCACACCCCATTCAACTTCATCCCCAGCAGCCCCATTCCAGTGCCAGGCACCCAGCGGGTACTCAGCAAACAAATGGATGGAGGCACTAAGATTCCTCTGTCAAACTGCCCACTGCTTATGTGTGGGGACAGGGACAGTCACATACACCTGGTGGTCACTGCACACTCATTGCCCGAGCCGAGCACTCACTGCCGCCAAGCACTGTTAAATGCTGCAGATAAAGGAGTAAATGTTCCCATCCCTGGGGGTTTAAGTGGGACAGAGCAACACCAGAGAGTAATCTTTAAGTATGTCCAACCTGTCCCTGATATTGTGTCTTTCTCAGGGTGAAGCAATAAGGTGGGAAATCCAGCAGTTTTGCAGATACTCAGACACAGATTTGAAACCCGTTTTTTTCCTTACTGTGTCCTTAGACGAATTATTTAATCTCACTGACACTTGGTTCCCTGAACTGTAAAATGGGGATACAGTGCCTTCCCCATAGACTTGTAAGGATTTATGGTAACAGAGTGTGTAAGTGGCCAGCATCTGGCACATTGCAGGTGCTCAACAAACCCATCTGACAACACTTGATGTTTCTGTTCCTTCCAGGCCAACTCAGGCCTGAGTGTGTAATGAATGCCCAAACATCCATTTGTCTACAGGAATAAACTGCCTACAGAAACCTGAATAGTAACAACAACAAGAAGAGAAACAAAGAAAAGCATGTGCAGGCTCTGCCGATAGGCTCTGAAAAACCCTGTTTATTTTGTCAAGTTACCATAGCAACTCCTGATGCTTCAGCCTGCTCCAGGGTTACCAGTGATCAATTTATCTTGTTACCACAGAAACGCCAGCTATTTGGCAGGATCCAGAGAGGGGAAGGCGGAGGCACATGTTATGTGAGCAGCTCCCCTCTAGAACTAAAACCCAATGAAGCCTTCTCAGTTATTATGTAGCTAAAATCACCACTACCTAAAATGATGTCCACATGACAATATTTATAAACAGGTGTAGGAGCAGGAGACAGAAAATAAGGCAAATAAAGACCAATGTTGCTCATGGAAGCCATCTGCATTAAGGAAAACTTGTTAAGAGGCTGCCATGAGCTGGAAGCGGTTCCCTTTACCCAGCTTGGGGATTCTGCACCCTTTCTTGTTTGTTTAGGGATTCGCTGTCCATACAGCCTGGATTTTGCTTTTACATTTTAGACAGGCTTCCACCAAGGTGAGGTTTGGGGGAAAAGAATGTCCCCTCAAACTTCATTCCCTGGAAAATTAAATAGCAGTAAGCTGGTTAAACATAACCAGCCCCAGAGAAGGTGCGAGGTCTGAATTTGGTACATAGCAACTTACTCTCCCTGATCAAATGTGGCTCTAACCTGCAGCCAGTGAGTCACGCACACTGGATCCTCGGAAAAGCCACAAACAGCGCCAGAAAGCGGGTGTCTCTGCCTTTGTTCTAGCTCAAGAGAGTTGACCACAAACATACAGATCACCCAACCCTCCCGACGCAAAGGAATTCTCCTGCAGCAAAGATCAAGCCGAGAGAGGTCGTGTTTTTCCCGGTCAGTGGGAATCTGTTTTGTGTCCAGAAAAGAGTTACGGTTGTGCCCTGGTTACAGACTCAGCACAAAGCAAAATGAATAAATAAAATAGAGCGATCTCTGCGCTTCAGCTCTCGGCTGGTCACACATCGGGTCTCACCGCCTTGCCTCGGCTGCAGAGCCGGTGGTCTCCAGCCAAAGGGCAGAAAAGGGAGGTAGGGGGAGCGCCCGAGATCACCGGCAAGTGAAAGATCCACCGGCGGCTCGGGAAGATGCCGACTGGGGAAGAGCGAGCTTGCCCGCCCACTCCGGTTTGCACAGATCTGGGCTGCCCCGCTCTGGGGGGTCCTGAGTATCAGGAGGGGGTGGCGGGGTGGGATGGGTAGGGAGGGGGCGATATGCACGGCCCAGACGTCTCGCAGCCTGGGAAGGGGTCGACCCTCGGCGTGCAGGGCGCATGGCCCGCCCCACCCCTGGAAGCCGCGCTCACGCCTCCGAGGGATGAGAGCGCGAGGTGGGGATGCCCGGCTGGGAACAAAGGGCCGGAGCAGAGATCCCGGGGGGGCACCACCGCCCGGCCCTTGCTCCCCCGGCACGCCCAGCCTCTGCGGAAAGGGCAAGACCGTGGCCCGAACCTCCCCCAACTTGGCTGCCGAGGCGCGCGGGGAAGGCGCCCCGTTACCTGCGCGGCCATAAAGGACAGATCCATGGTGTCGCTGCAGCGGCGGCTGCCGTGGCTACCCGCCCTCGAGTCCTCGCTGCCGCTGCTGCTGCGAGTTCAGCCGCCTGCGCAGCCGGCGCGGAGCGGGCCGAGCAGCGAACAGGGCCCCGCGGACCCCGCGGCGGCGTTGGCCTCAGCTGCCCGGCGTGGCAGCGCGCTCAGCAGGCTCTGCGCCCTGCGCTCCAGGCTGGGGACTCAGGCCGGGCCGGAGCAGGGCGGGGCGGGGCACGGGGACCTGGAGCCCCTCACGTGACCGCTCCCGGCCCCACCCACCGAGGGCGGGCCCGGCGGAGCCCCCGAGTGCTCACGGCCTCCTCCCTGCAGCTGGCTGAAGAAACTGAGACCCGGAGCCGCCCAGCTGGTGGGTGCAGGGACCAGCCTGGGACTCAAGGAGGGCGCTGTTGGCGCCCCGCCCCGGGGTCCGGAGGCGAACCCTCCGGGGGGCGGTGAGCTGTGCTTCTGGGGGCTCGCGAGCCTTGCTCAGGGGCCGAGGACCCCGGGCAGGGTGACCCCGCTTTCTGTGATAACCCTGTGCCCGGAGTGCGGTGTGCTCCCGGCTCTGAAACTGTCAGAAGAAAGCATAAATCCCAGCTCGGCGCTGCTCTGTGCAGCTTGGGCAGCCCAGCCTGGGCTTCCTCGTCTGTGAAATGGAGACCACAGAACCCTAGAGTGAGATGAGATCGTGTGTCTGGCACTTAGTGTCTGAAATAAGTGTGAACTCGAACACAGCTAGTAACATAACAGAGACTAAGCTGTGAATGACGCTTTGTAAGATGGCACAGTGTGCGACTTGCCCAACTGGTGCTCTATTGCTGCTCCGATCTTTTCTTCCCTCAAACAAGTAGCCCAAACCGTGCAGACGCCTTAGCTCAGGCGAGAACAGCAGAGATGGAGGAAGGGGCCTACGGGGTGTGTGCGTGTCTGTGTGTGTGTGTGTGTGTGTGTGTGTGTGCGCGCGCGCGCGCGTGTGTGTGTCCGCCCACAGGTCTCAATGAGTATTACTTGTTTCTCCTGGGGTGTCCTATATCCAGACACCCAGATAGATGGTTAAATATTATTTCTGGGTGTGTCTGTGAGGGTGTTTCAGAAGAGTAGCATTTGAATTGGTCTGCTGAGCAAAGCAGATAACCCTCTCGGGTGTGGGTGAGCACCATGCAATCTCTTGAGAGTCTGAAGAGAACAAAAAGGAGAAGGAAGGTCGAATTCACTGAGTGCCCAGCTGCACATCAGTCTTTTCCCACCCGTGGTGTTCCTAGTTTTTGGGCTTTCAGACTTGGATAGGAATCTATACCGTTACCTCTGGCTCTCATATGTAACATTATTGTATATATCCTATTCATCTGTCTCCAGAGAACCTTGACTTATACAGTTACTATATAGCCTCCTACCATTATATACATATTATTATATACTATAATGCAGTTACTATAGCTCATGCTAATGATAATAAGTTTTTCTCTTTTAGGAGTCTCTTGGCTATTCTTGGCCCCATGCTCTTCTGGATACACTTAAAAAATGCCTTGTCAGCCTCCCCCAATAACCTGTCTGGATTTGATCACAACTATGATAGTTCTATTTGTGGATAATTGATACCTTAAAGATAATGAATATTTCTCTTCAAGAACAAGGCATATCTTTTTAAACACTTAGGTCTTCTTTAATGTTTTTATATAAAGATATTGCAAACATTTTGCTGAAAACTCCATGAATTCTTTTTTAAATTAATTTTTTTTATTTTGAGATCATTGTACATTCACATGTGTTTATAAGAAATAAGACAGGAGTCCAGTGCAGGCTGTACTTAGTTTCCCCTAAAAGTAATATCTTGCAAAATTACAGTACAATGTCACAACCAAGAAATTGATATTGATTGGTGAAGATAAATTCAGAACATTTTTATCATTACAAGGATCCTTCATGTTGCTCTTTTACAGTCTCATCTACTCGCCTGCCCCACTCAGTCTTTAACCTCTGACAACCATTAATCTTGTTCTCCATTTCTATAATTTTATCATTTCAAGAATGTTATATAAATGGAATCACGCAGTATGTAACATTTGGGGACTGGGATTTTTCACTCACCATTTGTCTGGAGAGTTGCCCAGGATGTCATGTGTATCAATGGTTCCTTTTCATTGCCAAGTAGTATTCCATGGTGTGGAATACTACCTGTAAACATACACACCTGTTGAAGGACTTCCGGGTTATTTCCAGTTTTAAGCTATTATAGATAAGGTAGTTATAAACATTCATATGGTTCATTTATCTACAGATTTTTGTGTGAACATGTCTTAATTTCTCTGGGTTAAATGCTAAGGAGTTCAATTGCTGGGTCATATGGTAGTTGTATATATGAGTGGTTTCCCCACTTCCTTCTCAGCATTTGGTGTTGCCTATTTTTTTTGTAGCTATTTTGATAGGTATGTAGTGATATTTAATTATGATTTTAATTTACATTTCCCTAATGACTAATGATGTCGAACATCTTCAAGTGCTTATTTGCTGCCTGTATATCCTTTTTGGCAAATGTCTGTTAATATCTTTTACCCAGTTTCTAATTAGATTGTTTAGTTTGTGTGTTTATTTTTACTGTTGAGTCTTGAGAATTCTTCAGAAACTACTCCATCATTCATGAGGTTTGCAATGTTTCTCACCATCTACAGTTTGTCCTTTCAACTTCCTAACAGGGTTATTTACAGAGCAAATGTTTTAAATTGTGGTGAAGTCCATTTTATCATATTTACTTTCATGGATTGTGTTTTTGGTGTCAGGTGTAAGAAGTCTTTTGCCTATCCCACAATTCTGAAGATTTTCTTCTAAAAGATTTATAGTTTCATGTTTTACATACAAGTGTGTAATCGATTTTGAGTTAATTTTTTATAGCATGTGTGAGATTTAGGTAGAGGTTCAGATTTTGCCTGTGGACCATTCATCCAAAAGACTATCTTTCTCCCACTGAACTGCTTTTACTCCTTTGTCAAAACCAGTTGGTCCATTTCTGGGCTCTTCACCATTTCTTCACCATTGATCCATGTGTCTATCCCTTTGCTGATAGCAATTTTGTTTACTGTAGCTAGATGGTAAGTCTTGAAATTGGGTAGACAGATTTCTCCTACCTTGTTTCTTTTATTTTCATAAGTGTCTTAGCTATTTTAGTTCCCTTGCATTTCTATATGCATTTTAGGATAATCTGGTCTGTATCTACAAAAAATCTTACTGGGGTCCAGTTATGTTAAATTTATGCATCAGCCTAGGAGAAATTACATCTTTACTATGCCAAGTCTTCCAATCTGTGCAAGACAGTATGTCTTTCCATTTATTTATAACTTCTTTGATTTTTTTCAAATGTGTAGTTTTCAGCATTCAAGGCCTTGGGCATGTTTTATTAAGTTTACACCTAAGTATTTTTGTTTGTTTATTTTGAGTAATTGTAAATGGTATTGCACTTGTAATTTTGGTGTCCATGTATTCATTGCTTGTAAATAGAAAAAGCATTGATTGTGTATGTTACGCCTGTGACCTATTAGTTCTTGGAGTTTTTTTTGTAGATTCCTTGGGATTTGTTATGTAGATAGTCATGTCACCTGCAAATAGTGACCATTTTGTTTATTATTTTCCAGTCTTGTTTGTTTGTTATTTCCATACCTTGCCTTATTACACTGACCAGAAATGCGAGGCTCAATAGGAGTGGTGTGAGCAGACACCCACATTTCAATTGCTCCTCATGAGAGCCCAGGAGGCAGGCAAGCAGTGACGAAGCTGGGGACATCTGCCTGGGTGGCGCCGTTTGAAGAACGGTCCTGTACCTTTGCTGCTGTGTGATGACCTGGAGCAGACATCTCATCTCAAAGGAGCTCTGTAGACAAAGGGCCTGGGCTATTACTTGCGTGGCAGGCCTGCCTTGCTCAAGGGGGACCCAGACCTCTTCCAGGACAAAGGTCTGAATTAAAACAGAGAAAAGGAAGATGTCTGTCTGTTTTCTTGCTTTGTTTTTATTTTTTTAAATCCACTTTCCTGAGCAACCCCTTGTGGTCAATGCATCAAGCTGTGTGTCCTCGGACAAGTCTCTCCTCTCTGGGCTTCATCTCTAAAAGAAGGGTAGGCATGGCCCCATCAATCATGAGTCCATTTTTAATGCCCATTATAGCCTGGCAGTGAACAGAACTATTTAATCACCATGTCCTTGAAGAAACAAAACATTCTTATATTACCACATTCAGAGTGACAAGGACAAGAAGGTTTGAAAGGTCGTCCACAAAAACTTGAACTGAGGTATTTTTAGATCACTCTAGTGCATGTAATTTACATAAATGTACCCATTTTACATATATAGGTCCAAGAATCTTGATACATTTATACACCCTTGTACCCAGAACTACAATCAAAATGTGAAGCATTCCGTTGCCCTCTAACAGTTACCTCTCGTCTCTTTGTACTCAACTGCTCCACCCATCTCCAGCCTCAAGAAAATATTCATTAGGATTCTGATCTACAGATGAGATTTGTCTTCTCTGGAGTTTTTTACGGATGAAACCATATAGATTGTACTCTTTTCTTTGGCTTCCTTCATCAGCATGCTGTTTTTGAGAATCAAGCATGTTGTGGCATGTATCGGTAGTTCCGTTTTTATTGCTGAATAGCATTCTTAGGTATGGATGTCCCACGGTTTGTTTTATCTATTCTCCTGTTGATAGACGCTGAGGATGTTTCTAAGTCTGTGGTTATTATGAATACAGTGCCTATGAACATTTGTGTCCAAGTCTTTGTATAGCTGTTTTGTTTTCATTTTCTTGAATATAAACCTCAGAATAGAATTGCTTAATTGTATGCTTATCATAAACTGCCAAACTGTTTTACAAAGTGCTTGTACATTTTACATTCCTACCAATAGCGTATGAGAATTCCAGGTGCTTCATATTTTCACCAACACATGGCATTTTCATGGTTTTTAATTTAAGCCATTCTAGTGGGCATAAAGTGGTACTTCATTATGGTTTAAGCTTGTATTTCTCTAATGATTGACAATGTTGAACATCTCTTTTACCTGCTTATAATTGGCCACTCATATATTTTTGTTTGTAAAGGGTTTCAATCTTTCATCCATTTAAAAAATTGAACCAATTGTCTTTTTATTATTTACTTATAACTGTTCCTATGTGTTTTGAGTACAAATGCTATGTCAGACATATGTACTGCACATATTTTCTCTCAGTTTGTGGCTTTTTAAATTTTCTTAATGATGTTTTTTAAAGAAAAGTTCTTCATTTTGATAAAATCCAATGGATTTTCTTTTTCTGTTATGTTTCATGCATTTTGTGTCCTGTCTAAAAAAAACTTTGTCTACCTTAAGGTCATGAAGATTTTCTTTTTTCTCCCAGAAGTTTAGTAGTTATAGCTTTAATGCTTGGGTCTATGATCTATTTTTGTTTTTATGTATAGTGTGAAGTGAAGGTTGAGGTTCTTTTTTTTTCCTTCCCAAATGGATGTATAGTTATGCCAGCACTGTGGCTATAATGACTCTCCTTTCTTTTTTTTTAAGATGTTTAGCCCTTTGGTTCTTCTTTTTTTTTTTTTATTGAAGGGTAGTTGACACACAGTATTACATTAGTTTCAGGTGTACAACACAGTGATTTAACATTTATATACATGATAATTCTAGGTACCAGCTATCACCATACCAAAGTTGTTACAATATTTTGACTATATTCCTTATGCTATACATTACATCCCAGTTACTTATTTATTTTACAATTGGAAGTGTGTACTTTTTTTTTTTTTTNTTTTTGTGAGGG